TGAACTACCTTGCTGAATCTAATTTATATGTTTTAAGCAAACATCCAATTTTCTGCTCATATTAAAACATCTGTTTTGACATATAGTTTTGAATATTGTCTCAAATTTTTAATTTTAAAAGCTTTCCATACATTTTGAGCATGCTTGTAATCATCATCAGATACACCACATTCATTTAATGTACTATAAAAACATTCTTGTGGTGGTAATTTAGTTTATATCTTTCTTCAGAATCCGTATAATCATAAGGATAACTACCATTTCTTGTTATTAAATCTAGTAAATTTTAAGGAAAATGTTTTCCAGTTTCTTTAAAAGTAGATTTAAAAGAATTTGCTCTTAAATATTTTGATCAAAACCTGCATAAATGATAAATGGTAATCTCATGGTTCGATTATAACTTACAAATTTTATTTTTTCTTTTATTGGCATTTTGATTTTACATGCTTCATTGGTTTTACAATCTTTTTCATATGATTTAAATTTTTCACTTGAACGTAAATTTAATAATTATCTATCACACCAAAATAATTGGTGTTCCCCCATTTGTGATCTTAATAATCTATTAATATTTTTAATCCAACAATAATGATCATATTCATCATCCTTAAGATATAGTAAATTTACATGTGTCTAATTTATTTTTAGTATAATGTAATATATAAAGTTCTGAGTTCTTATACCCATATACATTCACAGATATATCATTCTGTTTTTAAAACTTTGAAATTTTATCTAAAGAGACGGGAAAATCAATTCCTTTGAAATTTAATTCATTTTCATATTTTTTATAATTTGAAATTCCAGATGAATTTTCACATGATACATTGCAGATAAAATAGCTCACATGAAACATTTATCATCATGATTTTTTTTACATTTATAATTGCTACTTTATTTTTCAGTATTTGTGGTAACTCCATATAACGACTTCCTTTTAATGGTTCATATTTATTTATTGATTATTATTTTATTTAATTCTAGATATTTTATCTCATATAAACTCCAACCTAAACCAGAAGCTTCAAAATCATCTGCCTCCTTTATTATTTTATAATTTGCTTCTTCATAGAATTCTTTTAAATCTGTATTCATTACTATAATATATTTTTTTGTTTTATGTATAAATTCTGTAAAGTTTTCAAATGCATTGTTAATATTTTTTTATAACAAAATAGTTTTAAATTTACTTTTAAATGTTTATGATCCATTAAACTTTCTTTAATTAAATCTTTAACAATATTAGTTTTTTCAGTTAAAATATCTCGAATATAAAGTCTATTTTTAATCCAATACGTTTTCAATCCAGACTTAAAACTCGATTGAGTTTCTTGAACTTCACAAAGTAAAATACCATTTCTATGTTTTAGACTTCTTAAATGTTGATTTTTGCATTTGGCTTGTAATATAGCCCACAAATGTCCCATTTTATTTGAGGAGGTCTAGGTTTTTTGGTTCTGAAAATATAGCTTTATCAAAAGAAAATAAATTCCAAAAAATGTCTTTTTGTACATGATCTATTATACATTGAATAAAATCATTATGTTTCAATGTTCAAGATTTTTTTAATTAAAACTTTTACACTACTCTAATACTTTTTTTTTTTTTTTTTTTTTTTTTAACTCATCATTAAATAAAACCATTTTCTGCTTTGTTGATCTTAAAAGATTTTTTATATAAGGTTTTTTTAAAATATTCACCACAAATATCGCATTTTATTTTTAACATTCTAGGTTTTTTTCATTTTTGAATATATATCTTCACTGAAAGGAAATAAATTCAAATATACTTTGCTTTTCATTTGCTCTGTTATATTTTGAATAAGATCATGTTTTTTTAATTTTAAATATCCACAAATATTATTATTTTTACAATATTGTTTTAAATCTTTAACAGTCATCATGGACGTCTCCATTTATAGGGAAGAAATTTTATAAATGTTTGCTTTCGACCAGCTTGGCGGATATGATAATTACTTCTTAAATGTCTTTGTGATAATATATATATTGTTTTCCACAATCACATTTTCTATAACTAATTGCTAATTTACACAAATACTACGGTTAAATTTTCCATGATTTCGATGTTTATAAAAATCATCTAATGATGTTATAATTTGACAATGCATGCATAATTTTGTCACTTCCATTTATTGACCAACAATTTTTTAAAGGGTAATTAAATGGATACAGTTTTTTTGGGGGGGATAATGTAGAAGTTGCAGAATCCTCATATATCGAATCTTCCGAAGATAGTGACCCACAAGAATATATTAAAGTATATCAAAACTTAATGTTGAAATCGAAGACGAAAAAATATATTATGTTCCCGATTTAAGTATTTTAAAAAAGAGAAACTAAGGTAGATTAACATATTTCAATAAATTAAAAAGAATTTACAAAAGAGCCTGACAAAATGTTGGAAAAATTTTTAGACTTTAGAAAAATTTTTATTTTTAGACCTATTACAGAAAAAATATTAATTGCTTATATATTCTGAAAGAAATTTGTAATTATTTTACCATAAATCATAAAATTAATAAGACATACAAACCAAAAAAATCTGGAATTCATTTGTAGTCTCCTATAAATGAATACATTAATTTTAAAAAGAAAAGAGAATTTACAGGAGTTTACTGAAGAATTCTCGACACCCCTACATTTTATAAAAATTGGATTGAAAGAATTTTTCGTTGAGGTTTCTTGGGATAACATTAGCGAATTTTATGAAAATAATAAATTCAAATATTGGAATGTTAAAGAATGGAATAAATTTGTTATTTCTGATGGTTTCTATAGTCTTGCTAGATTAAATATTCGAAGTCAAAGTTTTCTGTTTAATAATGAGTACTCCAATTTGCCACATAAGGCCACATATATATGTATCTCCTATTCAAATTACACAAATAGAAGAAGAAAATTAATTTAGTATTAAATTAGAAGAAAATTATAAAATTGATTTAACTGAAAGTAATTTTTATAAAGTTTTAGGATTTGAACCAAAAATATATGAAGAACGATGGCAAAAAGGTTCCCTTCATGCAAACATTGAATACTTAACTGATGATATTTATATTCATTGCAGTATAATTGAAGGTATGCAAATTAATAATCACTCAACAAAAGTAATTCATATATTTGTAAACACTCATTGACCTGGTAGTAAAATTATTCAACTTTTTGATAAACTAATCTTTTACAAAGTTAATAATCCCAATAGAGGTATCACAAGAATTAAAATCAGCACAACTGATAAAAAAAGAAATACACTAAATTTAAAAAATAAGAAAGTTAAATGTAAATTTATTACAACTGATGAGAATGAAAATTATTTAGGAAAAAATTTATTGTTCACTTCAGAATACCCTCAGTAAAATTATTTTTTACTGTCATTAAATTATTTTTTACTGTCATAAATTCTTTCTAATAAATGGAACATGAAAAAAACTTAGAGGAATTAAAGCAATCAATTGAAAAAGTAAGATTAGATAAAGAAATTAGAAAAAGTAAAGATGATCAAACAAAAGAAAAATTAGGAATTCAAAAAGCATTGGAAGAATTTTATAACCCTGTTACAAAAGAGATTGAGAAGTATGAAATGTCAAACAAAGATACTGTCAGAAATATTCAAGATGCTTTACAAAATATATCATTTCTTCCCTTAGACTCATTCAAGTGACTGGTGCCATCTATTGATGAAACTAAAACACAATTTCCTTAAAGCTGAGGGTAAAGATGGATTGGAAATAGGATCGTTAACTAAAACAGAAAGTTTATTATTATTAGTATTGTGTAGCACCGCTAGAAAATCTAATTCACAAACGAAAGATGTTTCCTGAATAATTTTGTCTGTAGAAAAATGTAAAGTGATTTTCTGACTAACAGTGAAGACTGGGAGAATATGTGAAAGAGGTATTCAAGACCTTACATAGAAAAAGTAGGCCTTACTGTAAATCTAGTAAAATGAGATTTTGGAGATAGGGAAGTGAAATTTCTCGGCCATATTATAGGTTCTAGTAAGCATTCACAAGATCCAGAAAAAGGGGAATCTATGAAAAAATACCTAGACCAACGCCGTATGTATGATTTGCCAGCTATTTACTATGATTACATTCCATATTTTGCAACTTTAGTATTACTCTTGACAAACTTGACTAAAAACAGAATAACCACTAACATCCCTTAGAACAATGAAGAAACAGCTTTTTAAAAATTAAAGCAACATCTTTCTGACATGACTTAACTCTAAATCTCGGCTTTGCATTCCTGCTGCCAAAATTATTATAATACTGGTGCAGGTTTCTGAGTCAACCTGAAGGGCTTTCCAAAAATCTCATTCCAGAAGTGTTACCAGCAATGGCAGCACCGAATGCAGAAGTGTGTGAATGCTGAAGGGAGCTACTTTGAAGGTGATAATGTCGGAGAACTGATTCTGTAAGTACAATGATTTATTTGACCAGTCCCTCCACCTTCTTTTTTAAATAATGGCTATTTTTAACTTCTGTAATCTAGAACTAAAATTAGCACTTTTTATCATATCAGAATGGCTAAGTAAATTTTAGATTTTCTTTCGATTATTAAAAAAAAAAAATGTTAAACAATGCTGCATGACTGCTTAGGAAGCAGACTCAAACTTGAACTTGCTAAAGTTTTAAAATAAGCTACTGTAAAAAGTTGTTTTAAAAATGTAAATGATATTTTAGATGCTTTTATTCATATTTGCTTTTTTTACGAAATTAGAATACTTTTAATGGACACTTCTTTGTATAAAATCAAAAACGTATTATTTGTTTCCATATGATTTTTAAAATCAATTTCTTATTCCTTTCTTTAGGCTAAATCTAATGATTTTTCTTTTAAGACCTGAAATCTGCACATCCTCGTCTCCCATCCTGAGCAGATTTTTGATCTAATCTATATGTCTTATTACTTCAATTTACCAAAAAAGGGGGCACAAAAAGGAAACAATTTTAAAATGCATGCACACAAATATATATTTACCTTTCTTCTTAAAATGACACAAGTCTCTTTCTCAGCAGCACTTGAAAGAGATTTAGCTCCTTGAGAGTTACTGCAATCCTCAATATTTTTAGCAGCTGTTTCTGGAATATCATTAGTTTCAGATCTTCCAAGAGCATGTGAACATACATTTTGTTCAGGAAGTATATCTTTGTCAATTAACTGAGAATTATTCAAATTATTACTAGATTTGTCAACATCAACATCATTTTTTGGTTGAATGGGAATTGATGTCAAGCTTTCTAATGCAAGTTCACTTATTTTAGGAGGCACTTCAAGAGTAGTATTACTCGAAGTCCATAATTCTTTACACAAAGGTTGTGTTGGTGGCATTTCAATGCTTTCCTTTTGCTTATAAAACAAGTTTCCATTTCCATCACTAGATTTTGTTTTATCAATAAAAAGAGTCTCAGGAACTATTTTGTCTTCAAGTATAATGCTATTTTCTTCTGCAAGCTCAAAATTCAATGGTAATGAAGGAAGACTATTGATATCCAAACTATTTTCAGAATTTTCACATATTTCCTTATCATCACTATGACGCAACAACTGAAGAAGTTCAGATTTCTCTTTCGGAACGCCACCATTGTTTGTATTCAGGGTCATGACATTTATTGTTTCTTCCTCCATGAATGTTCTATGAGAAATGTCACCAGAACTGCTCTTCATTCTAAAACTAAAATACACATTGTAATTAAGAACTACAGAATTACAATAAAGAATAAAATGATAAATAAATTTAGTGAAATTTTGAATATCAATAAAACACAAAGTATTTTCTAATAGATTATCTTAAAATATTCTTTCCCATCAAAATAATCACTCAGGTAACACAAAAGAAAGTTTAATTCACATTTCTTAGTTCTAAATAAACACTAAAAATTAGTAGGTATTAAAAAAAAATAAGTACATTCTGTTAAAACTAAACTGTCTACATCATAAAAATTCATATTATTTATTTATATGTTCTACTTATTAAATACTGATGTTTTATTTGATTAAAATATGTAAAAACCAACAATAAAATTAATAAGCAATTTAGTATTATACAGTCAAATACCAAAAATCCGCCAGCTCCTGAAATCCACGTTGCCTCTTGAGTTATAACATCAAAACCAAATTACTGACCTCATGTTAAAAGTTTTCCCCCTCCAATCTGCATCGAGGTACAAAAGCACACGATTAATTCAATTTTTTTTCAAAAATCACGATTCATGTTGTTGTATTTTCACGAGATTGTTTATAGCTACGGTTTGCTTTTTTATCCACATATTTTGTGGATAAATTAAAAATATTTTTTATTTTAGCTCTTTTTAATAAAATGACAGATAAGAAACGCATTCATGATTTTATTGCAATGCTGGAAAACATAAGCACATTAAATTGATGGTAATGCAAAAAATGGAGGCAGGTACTACTCCTCAGTTTATAGCAGAATCGTATGGAATTGTGACATGGGCCATGTATGATATACGGAAAAATAAAGAAAAGCTGTTGAAATTTTACAGCAATAGTGATTCTAACACTGGAATAAAAAAACGGAAATCTTTGCCTCAGACAAAACGAAACCTTGATGCTGCCTCGAACGAGTAGTTCTGACAGCAGCAGACTAATAGGGTACCAATTTCAGGACTGATTCGGAGAGAAAAGGAAAAGCATATTTATGCTGATTTAAAAACAGAGGAGCCGTCCAATTTCAGAAGCAGCTGGCTAAACAGATTTAAGCACAGACTCGGTATACGTTATCCAAAAGCACGAGGAGAAAAACTTTCAGCAGATAAAGATGCTGCAGAAGAATTTATCAATGACTTAGTGTTAGTAGAAGAAAATCTCAGCCCAGAACAGGTTTTTAATATGGACAAGACTGGATATTTTTGGCGATGGCTGTCAAGAAAGACATTTGTGACAAGTGACAAGTGGTGCACCGTCAGGGAAAAGAAGCTGAAGGAAGAGTTACTATTTTAGTATGCAGCAATGTAGATGGTACTTAAAAATGTCAGCCAGTGGTAGTGGGTAAGAGCACCTACCCCAGAGCTCTGAAAGGAGTAAAACAATTATCTAAGATGAATTTTGATAATATAAAGAAGATTTGAATAATAATAACTAATTGAAAGTAAAACTTATAAAGATTTTAAACTTGGGGGAAAAACACAGAAATGGAAATAACACATTTATATACTATTTCACCAAGAGTGTTTGGAATGTATGTATCTACTTTTTTTTTTTTTTTTTAATGCCTTTGTGGCTTAGCCTGTCCCTGCATAGCCATATGGCAGGTTTTGCCTGCTAGGTGGGCTGGGGGCCAGAGCTCAGAACTAACATATGATTTATAGGAGCAATAAAAATTCCTGCTGCACAAAACAACTTATAACCGAATGGCTTATAGGGCATTTTGTTAAAGATGCTAGATGGCACTGTAACAGTGTGGGGTTACCATCAAATTGCAAGATTTCACTGTTGTTAGACAACTGCTCTGCATATCCAGATGCAACCATTTTAACATGTGATAATGTCATGGCCCTTTTTTTGCCCCCAAATACATAACTGATCCAACCAATGGAGCAAAGCATAATACACAGTATTAAATGCCACTATAAATCAGAGTATCTGGGAAAAAATCCTTTCAAGTGACCATTCTACTTCACTTTGTGATTATAAAAAAAATTCATCATCAAAGACTGCATTTATGTAAGCTGAATCATTGAATTCTGTTTATCAAACAATATTAGTAAATGCCTGTCGCAATGTATGGCCATCTTCTCTGTTTATTGAAACTGAGAGTGATGACAGCGAATTTTCTGGTTTTAGGATCAGTGCAGCAAGAGAATTGCTTTTATATTTGAAAGAAAGAATAAATAAGGTGGCTTTGCAAGAAGGAGATATCATTTGAATGGATGATGTGTTCAGATGAGCCAACACTGGCATATCAACTAACTGATGATGAAATAAATCACTGGTTCTGTTTTGAACTCGCCAGAGCAAGAAAACAATTCTGACACTGATACAGATAGTGAATTTGCTATATCTTTTAATGAGGGTTTGGAACAAGGTGAAAAATACTACCATGTCAAATATCTCCAGCTAGAACAACAGAGCTGTGTCACAGATCAAGAGATTAAGACTCTCTATAATTTACAAAAAAAAAAAAAAAAAAATGTATATTATCATAATAATGTATATAATAATTTAATTAAATGTATCTAATATGCCTTATTTATTTTGCACATTTAGTCTGAATATTATGATTTATCTTTTCTGTACTGAAATCCACAAAATTCTAAAATCCACACAACCTGTAGTCCCAAGCTTTGTGGATTTCTAGACTTTTACTGTATCTCAATGATTAAACGTAAAACATTTAAAAATAAATCTGATATCTGTAATTAGAGAATTCATGCATAGGGGCATAAAATTTATATTAACCTCAAATAAACAGTATGTGCAAATACAAAAAATGTCATTATCGTTAATATTTCTACAATAGTTATATTATGAATCAATGATTATCATATGTAAATACGTAGATGATTTACTGAGGGAAAATGAGAACCTAACACAAGGATGAAACTTTTTATTTATAGAACATTACAATCACATAAAAGAACATGTTTTTGTGAAATAATGATAGAAAAGGCCACAATTTATAGGCAATTCATTGGTAAATCACGGAATTTCGCAAAATTATGTTGATCCTTTTTAAAACATTACACACAGAGCAATAATATGCATAACCAATACATAATTAATAAGCATTATATTATACATTTTTAAACTGATATTTACCTTTATAGCTTCTTTCATTAATGACAAGTGTATTAACCTTTATAGCTTTATAGCTATTTAAATAAATTTATTAACAAGGGAACTGGAAAAAACGAGTTTGATACGAGTTGATAACGAGTTTCTTTTTTGAAAGCGAATTTTAATTTCTTTTCCAAAACAAATTTTAATTTTTTTTTTTTTTTTTTTTTTTTTTTTTTTTTTTTTTATTCTAAACTGTTTTACTGTTGCCACTTGAGCAAAAGGAAAATCGCAATACGAAACGTTTGATGGCATTTCAGTACAGCAATGTTGCCACACACTCCCTTTCCAGTAAAAGCCTTATACCTCATAGACTTTCAGATATGCAGGAAATCTCACTTTTTGACCAGTTCTTTGTTTCTAGGGGTAATGTCTTTGGAAAGATCATTATTGTAGGATGCGTTTGTAAAACTTTGGAGTTATCAACTTCGTATGTCTAAAGACTTGTTAATACTTGATCTTTGAGTCTGAAACATGGTTTTAGTCTATCTATCTTGCTTGAAACTATCACACTGAAATATTCTTTTAAATATTGTTTACCCAAATATGGTCAAAGATAGGTTGGTTGAAAAGAAGACAAAATTATGCTATTAAAAATGAATACATGTTAACAAGCTGATAAGTCATAGTGTATGAAACCCCCCCATGGCTGGTTGTTAAAAGTTAGTTCAACATTTTGGATGTGGCTTTCCAATTTTTGTATAAAATTTGGATGCTTAGCAGTTGGGTATTTAGTAAAAAAATTCTTCAGGCAAACAAATTGGTGTGCCACACACAAGTTAACAGAAGAACAATGTAAATCTTCCTTAATGGTGGACTGAATCCTAAGAACTTAAGGTCAACATCAGTCCAAGAATTTTACATTTGAAGTAGGGATATTATGCTGTTTTTCAATGTTAGTGTTTGATTAAACCATTAGTTGTGGATGATAAGCTGTAGTGGTGTTAGCTTTGAAACCTAGGTATTTGCTCAAGAAATAGAAGAGTTGGATGTTAAATTGTCGACCTTGATCAGATGTTATCTTCTCTGGGATTCCAAATCTTGAAATCCAAGTCACAACGAGGGCATTTGCGATGGAATTTGCAGTTTGGTCTTCCAAAGGTACAGCTTCAATATGAGTGAATCTATCGATGTTGGTAAGTACATACCTAAAACCTTTGCAAGATGGTAAAAGTACCAATAATATTGATGTTAAGGTGCTTGAAACATTCATTTGAAACTTTGAATTCAGCAGCTGAAACATGGGTATGTTTGTGAACTTTGGCTCATTGGTATGCCAAACATTATTTAGTCCTTTGTTTATGGCAGGCC